GGGGGGGGACGGCAGTCCACCAAAACCAGGCAACTGCCTGGTCGTTCGCTGCGCCCATGCCATCCTCCAGCCGCCTTGACCTTACGCCTCAAAGGCAATGCGATTAGGGGGAGGAGAGAGAGCGGTCAGTGACACAGAGGAAGAGAGAGTCATATGCTAGTCACTAGTTACTTAGTCACTATAACGGTCATTGAGGGTTTGCGTTGCGAGCCCCTTGGCAAAGCGGAACTTAATTATTCCTTGACTAGATCGGTGAAACACCTGCATTCATTCATCATACGCTTTATTTTTAAAATATTCCAAAATTTTCAGCAAAAAAGTCCTCCGTTTTAAAAGAATAAAATTAGGCGCGTAAACTCACAAAACTGGGATATAAAAAGTAATCCATAATCGCAATTTTCGGCATCATAGATAAATGTCCTAGTAAGAGTCGTCGAAAATTGGACAACAAATTGGACTGCTTTCAAAACAGCGCTAGCGTTGTGACCTTGTGTCCTCATGACCTTATTGTGTTTCAAATAAACAAAGAGGGATAAAATCGGCTTATAATGGGTGAAGTGTATATAATAAAATTTACATGCGACTAAAGGGAGGGGGAAAATGGCGGCTCAAATTGAAAAGCCCGCAAGCTGCTATCAACATACTTGAAACCACACTCCAGTTATCAGGGCCTTTTCAGTCCATGACGATGTTTACCCCATACCATGAATATGCGATCTTTGTGAGGTTGTTTTAATTAGCCGTGCAGCTGGTCTGTGCCCAGTAAAGTTCTTTTATCGATGTGAGGACGCATCGGCTGTCCTTGTCGGTTGCGCAGGATCCTTCTACTAGTTATCCCAAACTAATTTTTCCGAGTGTGAGTGGTTACTTCGCCGGTCTCAAGAGACAACTACTATAACTGCCCTGGAGGAACAGTGTTCACTTACACAGTTTATTTGCATTATAGTGCGTGAAAATCGCTCAGTATCCAGCCCACGCCCTCCCCCCCCCTCGTGCGCATCGTATTCCACCTGCAGGTCAGGGTCATTGCGGCTGAAGAATGGCGTGGGCGCAACGGCGGAAGAGGCGTTTGCTTCGTTTAGTTGTGCTGCTCCCCCATCTCACAGGAACTGGACTTTAATATCTCTCACCCCATGTCCGTAATGCCACATTGGGCGGAGGCCAT